CGTAGGCAAAAGCACGTTTTTAAAACGTGTGCCTACAAAACGGGCAGGGGGCGCGCGCGAGGCACGCGCCCGCCCTACCTGTCCCACGGGTGTCAGCAGCGGGTCCCCGCCGCCGGGTCACGGCCGGTTTTTACCGGCCGTTTTCCCGCGATGAGCGGTAAACACTGAAACAGAGCAGGGCTGCATTGTTTACACACAGCCTGCTCTGTGACAGTTCGCCGCCAAGCTGCAGAGGGAGAATACAGTTTCTCTCCCTTGATCAGCTCCCCCCTCCCTCCCCCGTCCAGCACACACACCCCCGCCCCCTTAGTAAAACACACCCCCTCACACAGTGAACACTGAAAATGTTAACCCCTTCCTCCCCAGTGACATTAATACAGTTTCAGTGGGTTTTTTTTCACTGATCACTGTATTGGTGTCACTGGGGATGTCAGTGACCCCAAGTCAGCTCCCCCCCAGTGTCAAAATGTCCGCCGCAGTCCCGCCATAAGTCACTGGTCGCCGTCATATGTCTGATTGCCGCCATATGTCGCTGATCGGCGCCATTATTAGTATAAAATAAAAATTAAAAATTCCAGTATCTTTCCCGCCATTTGTAAACGCTATAACTTTCACGTAAACCAATTAATTTACACGTATTGTTTTTTTTTTTTTAGCAAAGACATGTCGCAGAATGCATTTTCGCAGAAATTTATGACTAAATTTGATTTTTGCATTTTTTTTTTTTACTGGACATGTTTTATAGCAAAAAGTCCAAAAAATATTGTTTTTTTTTTTCCTCAAAATTGTCAGCCTTTTTTTTTATAGCGCAAAAAATAAAAACCGCACAGGCGATCAAATACCACCGAAAAAAAGCTCAATTTGTGGGGAAAAAAAGGATGTAAATTTCATTTATGTACCGTATTGCATGACCGCGCAATTGTCCGTTAAACTAGCGCAGCGCTGTATAGCAGAAAAATGGCGTAAATTGCAGTATCTATACCATAGTTTGTAGACGCTATAACTTCACACAAAGCAATCAATATACACTTATTGGGATTTTTTTTTACCAAAAACATGGAGCAGAATACATTTTGGCCTAAATTTATAACTAACTTTGAGTTTACTGTATATTTTTTATAGCTGAAAGTAAAAAATATTGTGTTTTTCTTCAAAATTTTTGGCCTTTTTTTGTTTATAGCGTGAAAAATAAAAAGCGCACAGGTGATCAAATACCACCAAAAGAAAGCTCTATTTGTGTGAAAAAAAGGACATAAATTTTGTTTGGGTGCAGCATTGCATGACCGCGCAATTATCAGTTGAATTAGTGCAGCGCCGAGTAGCAAAAAGAGGCCTGGTCATTAAGGGGGGTAAATCCTCTGGAGCTCAAGTGGTTAATTGCACATAACATGTAAACATTCACAGTGCAGGGAGGAAAAAGTATGTGAGGCCCTAGCTTAATGACTTCTCCCAGAGCTAATTGGAGCCAGGAGTGAGCCAACCTTGACTCCAACCAGTGTGATGATATCGGATGTGTTGCTGACAGCTGTCCTGCCCTTAAAAAACACACACCTGTTTTGGGTTTACTGGTTTCAAGAAGCACTGTCTGTTTTGAACCATGCCTCGCAGAAAAGAGCTCTCAGAAGACCTACGATCAAGAATTGTTGACTTGCATGAAGCTGGAAAGAGCTACAAAAGTATCTCCAAAAGCCTTGATGTTCATGTGTCCACGGTAAGACAGACTGTCTACAAATGGAGAAAGTTTAGCACTGTTGCTACTCTCCCTAGGCGTGGTCATCCTGTAAAAATGACTGCAAGAGCACAGCGCAGAATGCTGCATGAGGTAAAGAAGAATCCCAGAGTGTCAGCTAAAGACCTACAGAAATCTCTGGCACATGCTAACATTTTTGTTGACACATCTACAATAAGGAAAACATTAAACAAGAATGGTGTACATGGGAGGACACCACGGAGGAAGCCATTGCTGTCCAAAAAGAATATTGCAGCACGTTTGAAGTTTGCAAAAGAGCACCTGGATGTTCCACAGCACTACTGGCAAAATATACTGTGGACAGATGAAACCAAGATTGAGTTGTTTGGGAAGAACACACAACACTATGTGTGGAGAAAAAAAAGGCACAGCACACCAACATCAAAACCTCATCCCCACTGTGAAACATGGCGGAGGGAGCATCATGGTTTGGGGCTGCTTTGCTGCCTCAGGGCCTGGACGGATTGTTGTCATTGATGGGAAAATGAATTCCAGAGTTTATCAAGACATTTTGCAGGAAAAACGTACGACCATATGTCCGCCAACTGAAGCTCCACAGAGGATGGGTGATGCAACAGGACAATGACCCAAAGCATACAAGTAATTCAACAAAACAATGGCTGCAACAGCACAGAATACGCCTTCTGGAGTGGCCCAGTCAGAGTCCTGACCTCAACCCGATTGAAATGCTGTGGCATGACCTTAAGAGAGCGATTCACACCAGACATCCCAAGAACATTGCTACACTGAAACAGTTTTGTGAAGAGAAGTGGTCCAAAATGACTCCAGATCGTTGTGCAGGTCTGATCTGCAACTACAGGAAACGTTTGGTTGAGGTTATTGCTGCCAAAGGAGGGTCAACCAGTTATTAAGTCCAAAGGTTCACATACTTTTTCCTCCCTGCACTGTGAATGTTTACATGTTACGTGCAATTAAACCATGGCAACATCTAATGTTTGTGTAGTATTATGTTCAGCAGACTGTATTCTATTGTTGTGACTTAGATGACGTTCGTTGAGCACATTTTATGCCCAATTCATGCAAAACTCCACGTAATCCCAAGGGGTTCACATACTTTTTCTTGCAACTGTACATCAGAATCATTTTCATCTCCCTGCAACTAATATTTTATTATTATAACTGGTACTTATATAGGGCTGTCAATTTATGCAGCACTTTACATATACTGTATATGTAGCAGCTCACGTTTATATTTTAATGTTACAGACCTTCTCCCATGTGACATTGCTCAGGTATAGCAGCCAGTTGAGTGATTGATCTCCCCTTAAAGTCTCTAGCGCCAGGTGGGACTGAGGCAGGAGCAGAAGGGGAGCACTGGCAAGATATTGGAAATGAGTTTTTCTGGCTGGGGGGGGGCTTCATAAATGCATGTATTTGAACATTTAGCTGCTATACATTGTTGATGTGCGTTTTGTAGAGAAGAATAGATTTTTGTACTCGCTGGCGTTAATTTACTAAAGCCAAATCGACTGTGCACTTGCTCTAGATCTGAGAGGAACATGCAAGGAAAGTAAAAAAAAAAACGCATTTTGCCTGCACATGATTGGATGAAAGAAATCAGCACAGCTTTGCCTCATTTCAGAGCTTCTCCTTGGATATAAAGCAACTGCACTTGCAGTGCACAGTATATTTACCTTTAGTAAACCAACCCCCCTGTAAAATCCTTCACTTGGAGTTCATTGAGGGGCCCAGGTTTTAGAGACAATTGGGTTATACTGCTGACTATAGGAATATTTAGAAACTGGTAAACAATAAAAAAAAAAACAGTGGCCAGGCTTGTATAATCCCTCCCACTCCTCGCTTTCCTCAGTTTTGTAACAAACAGCAATGAGAGCAAGATCATAAACATAGCTTGTACAAATAGTTATACTTTGGTCAAGATGTTCATCCTTCCCGGACACAAGAAAAACATGGAGGCTTGATGGAGTGAGTGCAAGGGGTTATACCAAGTTCACAGGTTTTTAATTTTTTTTTTTTTCCCCGTTTCCAATTCTCCTGTAGGTGACAGTATGACACAGTTGTTTTTAAATCCTGTGTTAGTCAATGACCAACAGAAATTGCATGTTGATGTACATTGAGGGGCATATAGATGCATTAGATAGCAGTTAAATTTGCTTGAATAAACTATTAAATGCACAAACATGTTAGAGGTCTTCTTATAGTTTGGTGTTGTATAGTTTGCTAAACAAATTTTTTAGCATGTAGTATGAAAGTGGTTGTAAAAGGTGAAGGTTTTTTACTTTGATGCATTCTATGCATGAAGGTAAAAAACCTTCAGTGTGCAGCTTCCTCCGCATCCCCCTTAATACCTACCTGAGCTTGATCTCGAATCGGCACTGTGCACAGGAGCCTCGGTTCTCCCAGGTCTCTCTCGTCATTGGCTGAGACACAGCAATGGGAACCGATGGCTCCCACTGCTGTCAATCAGCCAGTGAGGAGGGAGCAGAGAACGGGACTGAGCCAAATTCTGTGCTTCCCATAGACACATACAGGTAGCTCGGGAGGGACCATGCACAAGTACCCCAGAGCAAGCAGCTAGCTGTGGGGGCTCTCGGCAAGTGGGAGGTGCCAGAAGCGTTGGTGGGAGAAATGAGAAAAGGAGGATCGGAGCTGCTATGTGCAAAACCATTGCACAGAACAGGTAAGTGTGATGTACCTTTGGAACCACTTTAGAGCCACTGGTTCAAAAGACTGGCTGTCAATCAGCCAGTGAGGAGGGAGAAATACTTACCTGAGCTTGATTTGGGTCCAGCAATGTGCACGGGAACTTATGGACACACAGAGGGGGCTCGAGAGCAAGCACGCACCAGTGCTGTCATTGGGCACCCGAGAAGAGGAGGATCAGCACTGCTCTGTGCAAAACTACTGCACAGAGCATTTAGTAGGACTTCAAATTTGGCTAGGGTTACAGGGGTGATTCCATGTCTCTGCAGCTGAGAGATTTAGCCACTTGTTGGCAGTCATCTCCTTTGCAGCACATTGAAAATAAATGTACATCTAATGACATAAGGGTCGACAAGTCTTTAAATCTCTCAGAGATGAGAATCGCTCTTGTAGCTCTAGACTTAGTGGCACAAATGATTTTAAAGATCACTAGGTACTGTATGCAGAGAATATCTAATTACATACTATACATCCAAAATACATCTAAATGTACTGTATTACATACTGCTAAAATACCTCTAAATGTATTACAATGTCAAAACATGTTTTCTTTTTATTGTACTAGTTCGAGGATCTTTAGGCTTGACTGTCATTTTTGCACTATGGCAGTTACAGAAAGAGATATGGAAACAGTTTGGATCCACCGTCTCTACATTGTTCTGCCTAATAACAACATCTCAATTTCATTTGATGTTCTACTGTACTCGAACCCTTCCTAATACATTTGCACTTCCCATCGGTGAGTATTTATTATTTTACATTTGGCTTCATTCATTAGATACAAACATGCTATAAAATATATTTTTTTAGCAAACTGTAAGAATCTGCTAATTTTGCTAATTCAAGGCTGTAATCTCTGACTGCAATACATGTAAACAATGGGAATATCCCTTATAGATCAAGGTATTGGAATTCCAAAAAGTGTTGTTAGTGTAAAGCTCATTAATTGTGTGTTATTTCTTAAATTTAATCCAAAAATGTGTTTATTGAAGTTTTGTAGTAGATCTGTGAGGATGTGTCTCTTTAGGTCAAGTAGAAGTACAGTAAAGCTAGCAGCTCCCACTCACCTAATTTATCACGTAATAGTAGCACAGTAGATCTTCATTATTTTTGTTGACTAACCCCCATGTGGGTTTTTTTTTTTTACCCTTTTTATGGGAGGCTAAGCTTTTTACCATGTGGATGTAATTTTCATTATTATGGGGTACAATGCGTAAAAAAAAAAAAAGAATTTATCAGAGTTACAATTGTTTCTGTGGCATACAAATAGATATTTATTAGTTCAAACAAAAGTGAATGACAAAATTTTGCTACAGCTGATTGACTTGGCAAAATTTAAATTGATCAGAAACTTACTATAGGTTGTTTGAACAGATGGTCTTTGTTTTGTAATTTTTAATTCAGTCATTTTAGTCTTATTAAATGATCAACCGATCACATACACATGTGACCACCATAAAGCATATTGTTGCAAACCGTAATGGAGTATGCATCCACAACTTTTCTTTTTTGTTTCCATAGTATTGCTGGCTATCAAATACTGGATGAAGCAGAAGCCTGGTCCATTTATTTGGCTTTCGGCATTCGCCATCATTGTGTTCAGATCTGAGCTGTGTATATTAATGGGACTCATGCTGTTAATATCTCTAATGAAAAGAAGCATTTCCATTTTTACAGCTTTCTCTCATGCAGTCCCAGCTGGAATTGTCTGCTTAAGTGAGTAGTTTGGCCAAATTTCTATTTTTTATGAATGTCTAAAATACTAAAGGGTTTTGTTTTGTAAATGTCAAAAGTAACCTTGATGATTATGTGAACATTTAGAGACTGTATCATTTAAAAATGTGTTTCCACTTTTGCAGCCAAATTGGGACAATGCCTATTCCCATTCACATAGAATAACTTGAAAAATATATAAAAATTACTGCTTACGTTTTTACTTGCTTATTCCTGAAAACTCCAAAACTGAAGTTTTCCCGTTCTATGTAAAGTTAAGATGGGGATGGAGAGTTTTATTTACCATAATTAATCTTGTCTGTACTATGCTGGTTTATTTTCATTACCAGTTGTGCACACTGTCGGTCCTAACAAATGGTTGAAGATCTCAAGGCATGGGTGGTTTATTGTGTAGTAACAAGTCCTATGTATGATGCTGTTCCAAAGAAACGACTAGAAATCTTATAAATTATATGTTTTTTAAAAATATGTTTTGATATGCTGTGTGAATAGGAACACATATAGTAGGGGAGTTCATATCCCTTCTTTTACTAGGTAGTTTTTTCCCCACTGACTTTAAAGTATAACTAAAGGCAAAACCTCTTTTTTGTTTTTGTTTTTTAAATTTGGATAGAGTAGAGAGAGATTACAACACCTGTCAGGTTTTATTGCTGTGTGCGGCCCCATTTGATAATCTGACCTCTATTTGTCCTGTTTACCATTGTCATCCAAAGTGAGAGTAAAAAGAAAATCCTAAATTTGGGGTTACCCTCAGAACAGCAATGGAGGAGAAATCTTCCAATGGGAACACTAGTTCTGGTGACCCTAGTAACAATCAGGGATTCCCTCACTTTGGCATGATGTCCTCATTTCCTGTTTTGGCTATAGACAGGAAGTGAATGAAAATATCCGCAATGAGATACAGATGTAAAAAAAAAAACCTGACTGGTATAGGTTTTGCCTTTAACCACTTGAGTTCCAGAGGATTTACCCCCCTTAATGACCAGGCCTCTTTTTGCTACTCGGCGCTGCACTAATTCAACTGATAATTGCGCGGTCATGCAATGCTGCACCCAAATGAAATTTACGTCCTTTTTTTCACACAACTAGAGCTTTCTTTCGGTGTAATTTGATCACCTGTGCGCTTTTTATTTTTTACGCTATAAACAAAAAAAGGCCAAAAATGTTGAAGAAAAACAATATTTTTTTATTTTCAGCTATAAACAATATATAGTAAACTCAAAGTTGGTTATAAATTTAGGCCAAAATGTATTCTGCTACATGTTTTTGGTAAAAAAAATCCCAATAAGTGTATATTGATTGCTTTTTGTGGAAGTTTTAGCGTCTACAAACTATGGTATAAATACTGCAATTTACGCCATTTGTTTGCTATACAGCGCTGCGCTAGTTTAACGGACAATTGCGAGGTCATGCAATATGGTACATAAATGAAATTTACATCCTTTTTTTCCCCACAAATTGAGCTTTCTTTCGGTGGTATTTGATCGCCTGTGCGGTTTTTATTTTTTGCGCTATAAAAAAAAAAGGCTGACAATTTTGAGGAAAAAAAAACAATATTTTGGACTTTTTGCTATAAAACATGTCCAGTAAAAAAAATGCAAAAATCAAATTTAGTCATAAATTTCTGCCAAAATGCATTCTGCGACATGTCTTTGCTAAAAAAAAAACCCAATACGTGTAAATTAATTGGTTTACGTGAAAGTTATAGCGTTTACAAATGGCGGGAAAGATACTGGGATTTTTAGGGGTTTTTTTTATACTAATAATGGCGGCGATCAGCGAATTATGGTGGCGATCAGGGACTTATGGCAGCGACCAGCGACTTATGGCGAGACTGCGGCGGACATTTTGACATTGGGGGGTACTGACTTGGGGTCACTGACATCCCCAAAAAACTAATACAGTGATCAAAAAAAAAAAAAACTGACACTGTGCTAATGGCAATGGGGAGGAAGGGGTTAACTTTATTTTGCAGGGAAGGGTTACGGGAGTGAGGGGAGTGTTTTACTAGGGGGCGGGGGTGTGTACTGGGAGGGACAAGGCTGATCGAGAAAGAGAAACTCTTCTTTCACGATCAGCTCATCCTCGAGCTGAGAAGGAAGTGACAGACAGCACAGCTACTGCAGCTGTGCTCTCTGTCACTGTTTGCCGCCGATCGCCGGGACATAGCCGCTAAGGAGCAGCTGTGACCCGGCGACTGACATCTGCGGCGGTGATCCGCGGGACAAATAGGGCGGCGCGCCTCGCGCGCGCCCCCTATTTGTTTACAAAACACACGTCTTAAAATGTGGTTTTGCCTGTGAGTGCCGCCCTGCCGCCGTATATGTACAGTGGCTGGGCGGCATGCGGTTAAATGTCTAGATGTAGAAATCTGTCGTACAGTTACTTATTGGTTCTTCCTTTTGCATGACAAATGAACGCTTGCTACATATTGAAACTTGTCATGCATTTGTGTAGGTCTGATGGTGCGTCTCATGCCCTGTTTCTGCTATTAAGCAGGGGAAAAAAAAATTAACAGAAAACAATAAGCCAGGCATAGATGGTTTGAATCTTGGCTGGCTCAGCAGGAACTGACCAAGATTCGAACCATCTTTGGGCAGACTGATTGTACCCAATTCAACTGTTTGTACAACTAGCTATAGCCATTAGCAATAATTACTGTGTTCGCACGTCAGGGGCAACTTTTGTTTTTCCCACAGCATTTGCCTAGCTGTTGTGCAGACATATTGTATGTTGCATGAACTTGATGGAATCCAGAAGGATGTCCACTTATGTTCAATGAAGCAACTGTGCTTTGAGAGTGATAATGTGGCACGTAGATAAATGTGAGTATCACACTGGAAGGGAATTGAAACAATGAAAGAAGCCTCATACACTTTTGAATTTGATTTAGAGAAAATCGATAAATAGCGTGGGTAGAGGAATCTGCGCTGCCTACCATTGTATTCAGACAGCCGCAGCACCTGCAACTGTCTAAATACATGACAGTGACTGCATCTGTTAGTATACAGTCACTATTGGGCAAATAATTTCAGTAGATATTGGAATCATGACACAAGGCATCAGACCTCTGTAAATATGATTTGTTCAATTTAAAAGGAAAACTGGAGGGAGACAATCCAAATGTAATTTTGTGTCTAGCACAAGGTCATCCAGTATTTTAGGATTAAATGTTACATAAACTTGTCCATAAGGTATACAAAAATACAATAGTTTCATAAGTATTGGATAGCAGAAACCAGGGCAACAGTTGTGTAAACGGTTGACCCGAGCAGTAGGGTTTTAATAAACTGAATTTCTACTGTGATATGTTATTGGCGTCAAATAACCACTGCACTGCTTGATAGTCTCTCCATCTAAAACAAACAAATCAGTAATGTTCCTTGCAACTGCATATGTAGAGCTTTAAATTAGGACTAAATGCAAAACTTTTTTCAATTTGGATAGCGTAAGGGAAGGTTTTAACACTTAACAGTTTTTTTTTTGTGTCCCATAGGGGAGTCAATCCTTCTCTTCCTGTCCCATAGCCAAAATAGGAAGTAAGAGGAAATTCCTTCAAAGTGAGGAAGTCCCTGGTTGTCACCAGTGTCACTATAACTAATGTCTCCACTGCAAGATTTCCCATTTATTACTGTTCTGGAGACAACCCAAATTTTGGGATTTTGGTTGTTTGGTAGTTCATTGATTCTTCCTGTCAGTGTATCTGCTTGCCCATATGGGATGTACGGGCATTCAGATATACTGTCAAGTCTGCGGGAGTCCTGCATGACACCAGCAATCTGCTGATCAATGGTGCAGTGCTTTTACGGGCTCTTGCAGCAAAAAAAATAAATGAAATGCATTTTTTTTTTTTACCTGCAAAAAAAAGTTAATTTTTATTATTTTTTGTCAAAAGGTGAACTTTAAGGAATAGTGGTGTTGCCTCACTGCTCAGCATACTGATTGGACAGTGAAGGACAGCAGTACACTGTCAATCCTGTGCTTTCCCCCTTCTTTCAAGCATGTGACCTGGGTCTGACAGCACTGTGCAGTATATTAATGCTTTGACTGGTTAAGGCTGATGTCCCTTTTAAGTCTACTCAATCAAATGATGCTTTCAATTTCTGCCTAAAATTCAGCTTTCATTTACAGATTTTACATTTGTTTTCTGTCACTTTAGGTCTAACCATTGCTATAGATTCCATATTCTGGAAACGTGTTCTTTGGCCAGAGGGAGAAGTCTTGTGGTATAATACATTTTTGAATAAAAGTGCAAGTTGGGGAGTATCCTTTATTTCTACAAAAAAAAAAAAAAATGTATTGGCCAGCTAGCTGAAAATTTTTAAGTTGGTCAAGCATTCTATCCTAGCGATGCTGTTTTTAAAGCTCCAACAATATACAGGTGAAACTCGAAAAATTAGAATATCGTGCAAAAGTTAATTTATTTCAGTAATGCAACTCAGAAGGTGAAAGTAATATATGAGATAGACTCATTACATGCAAAGCAAGATAGTTCAAGCCGTGATTTGTCATAATTGTGATGATTATGGCTTCCAGCTCATGAAAACCCCAAATTCACAATCTCAGAAAATTAGAATATTACATGCAATCAATAAAACAAGGATTGTACATAGAACAATATTGGACCTCTGAAAAGTATAAGCATGTATATGTACTCAGTACTTGGTTTGGGCCCCTTTTGCAGCAATTACTGCCTCAGTGCGACGTGGCATGGAAGCTATCAGCTTGTGGCACTGCTGAGGTGTTATGGAAGACCAGGATGCTTCAATAGCGGCCTTCAGCTCTTCTGCATTGTTCGGTCTCATGTCTCTTATCTTTCTCTTGGCAATGCCCCATAGATTCTCTATGGGGTTTAGGTCAGGCGAGTTTGCTGGCCAATCAAGCACAGTAATCCCACGGTCATTGAACCAGGTTTTGGTGCTTTTGGCAGTGTGGGCAGGTGCCAAGTCCTGCTGGAAAATGAAGTCAGCATCCCCATAAAGCTCATCTGTGGAAGGAAGCATGAAGTGCTCCGAAATCTCCTGGTAGATGGCTGCGTTTACCCTGGACTTAATGAAGCACAGTGGACCAACACCAGCAGATGACATGGCTCTCCAAATCAACACAGACTGTGGAAACTTCACACTGGACTTCAAGCATCTTGCAGTGTGTGTCTCTCCATTCTTCCTCCATACTCTGGGTCCTTGGTTTCCAAATGAGATGTAAAAGTTGCTCTCATCAGAAAAGAGGACTTTGGACCACTGAGCAACAAACCAGGTCTGTTTTTCTTTAGACCAGGTAAGATGCTTCTGACATTGTTTGTTGTTCAGGAGCAGCTTGACAAGAGGAATACGACATTTGAAGCCCATGTCCAGGATCCGTCTATGTGTGGTGGCTCTTGATGCACTGACTCCAGCCTCAGTCCACTCCTTGTGAAAGTCCCCAACACTTTTGAATGGCCTTTTCCTGACAATCCTCTCCAGGCTGCGGTCATCCCTGCTGCTTGTGCACCTTTTTCTTCCACACTTTTCCCTTCCACATAATTTTCTATTAATGTGCTTTGATACAGCACTTTGGGAACATCCAACTTCTTTTGCAATTACCTTTTGAGGCTTTCCCTGTCAGGTCAGCAGTCTTTCCCATGAAAGGCTCAGGAACCCTTTGCAGGTGTTATGACGTAATTAGCTGATTAGAGTGGGACACTTTGAGCCTAGAATATTGCACCTTTTTACAATATTCTAATTTTCTGAGATTGTGTATTTGGGGTTTTCATGAGCTGTAAGCCATAATCATCACAATTATGACAAATCATGGCTTGAACCATCTTGCTTTGCATGTAATGAGTCTATCTCATATATTAGTTTCACCTTTTAAGTTGCATTACTAAAATAAATGAACTTTTGCACAATATTCTAATTTTTTGAGTTTCACCTGTACAACCTCAATTCCAAAAAAGATGGGGTGCTGTGTAAAATCTACATACAAATAGAATGCAGAGATTTGCAAATCATAAACCCATATTTTATTCACACCAGAAAATACAAAACATGACTTTCAGTGGTTATACCGGAGTGATGCCTGTAGCTGCAGGCATCATCCCAGTACCGTTTTTACAGCCGGCAGTCGGCTCTCTTGCACGGCTAACTGTTACTCGATTGCCTTTATAAGCAGTGGGAGGGGACTTCCATCTTCCGCGGCCCTCTCAGAATCTCCTGTTCCACCAGGAGACCCGAGCGACTAGCCGGCATATCCGCCGGCTGGCCAGGCAGCCGAACAAAGCGGGAATCGGCTTTGAATGGCTGTCCTGTATAGTAAACCGGAAGCGATGACCTCACATCACTTCTGGTTTACTCGGAAACTATTGGCGCCACTTTTGAAAAACTGAAAGCGTTCAAAAACACCAATCTTGGTGTTGTGAATGCTTTCAAGTGCAGAGGAGGAATTTGGGATCTTATAGACCCCAGATTGCTCCATAAAAAGTACCTGTCACATGTCTCTTGCTGTCACAAGGGATGTTTACATTCCTTGTGACCGCAATAAAAGTGATTACAAAAACAAAAAAATATATAAAAATTTTAAAGTGCCCCATCTGCCCGTGCTCTTACGCAAAGGCGAATGCATGCATTGGTCCTGTACACAAACAGTGATCATTCCACACGTGAGATATCGCCACAAATGTCAAATCATGGGCAGTAATTCTAGCAGTAGACATACTCTGTAAATCCAAAGTGGTAACCTGTAAAGGCTTTTCAAACTTCGCCTATAAATAGTACAATTTATGTTGTTTGCCGCCTTTGCACAGGCAACATGTTTGGTATCTATTTACTTGTCGTAACATCATCTTTTATATTTTACAAAAAAGTGGGTTATGTATTGCCTATTCACTAAAAATTTTTTTGTATTTTTTTTCCCAAAAAAATTGCGTTTGAAAAAACCACTGCACATACCGTGTGACATAAAAAAAAAACACTGATTTATTCTCTGGGGGCCTCTGCTTTAAAAGGAAAAAAAAATTATATATATAATTTTATATATATATATATATATATATATATATATATACAGTCATGGCCGAAATTGTTGGCACCCTTGATATTTTTCCTGAAAATCAAGTATTTCACACAAAAAAGGTATTGCATTAACACATGTTTTGCTATACACATGTTTATTCCCTTTGTATGTATTGGAACAAATATAAAACAGAGGCAGAAAAGCAAATATGACATAATGTCACACAAAAACCCCAAAAATGGGCTGGACAAAAGTATTGGCACCCTTAACTTAATATTTGGTTGCACACCCTTTGGAAAACATAACTGAAATCAGTCGCTTCCTATAACCATCAATAAGCTTCTGACACCTCTCACCCGGAATTTTGGACCACTCTTCCTTTGCAAACAGCTCCAGGTCTCTCTTATTGGAAGGGACACCTTTTCCCAACAGCAATTTTAAGATCTCTCCACAGGTGTTCAATGGGATTTAGATCTGGGCTCATTGCTGGCCACTTCAGAACTCTCCAGCGCTTCTTTGCCATCCATTTCTGAGTGCTTTTTGACGTATGTTTGGGGTCATTGTCCTGCTGGAAGACCCAGGATCTTGGACGCAAACCCAGCTTTCTGACACTGGGCCCTACAGTGCGACCCAAAATCCTTTGGTAATCCTCAGATTTCATGATGCCTTGCACACAGTCAAGGCACCCAGTGCCAGAGGCAGCAAAACAACCCCAAAACATCATTGAACCTCCACCATATTTTACCGTAGGTACTGTGTTTTGTTCTTTGTAGGCCTCATTCCGTTTTCGGTAAACAGTAGAATGATGTGCTTTACCGAAAAGCTCTATCTTGGTCTCATCTGTCCACAAGACGTTTTCCCAGAAGGCTTTTGGCTTACTCAAGTACATTTTGGCAAACTGTAGTCTTGCTTTTTTATGTCTCTGTGTCAGCAGTGGGGTCCTCCTGGGTCTCCTGCCATAGCGTTTCATTTCATTTAAATGTCGACGGATAGTTCGCGCTGACACTGATGCTCCCTGAGCCTGCAGGACAGCTTGAATGTCTTTGGAACATGTTTGGGGCTGCTTATCCACCATCCGGACTATTCTGCGTTGCAATCTTTCATCAATTTTCCTCATCCGTCCACGACCAGGGAGATTAGCTACAGTGCCATGGGTTGCAAACTTCTTGATAATGTTGCGCACTGTGGACAAAGGCAAATCTAGTTCTCTGGAGATGGACTTGTAACCTTGAGATTGTTGATATTTTGCCACAATTTTGGTTCTCAGGTCCTCAGACAGTTCTCGTCTCCTCTTTCTGTTGTCCATGCTTAGTGTGGCACAGACAGACACACAATGCAAAGGTTAAGTGAACGTCTCTCCTTTTTATCTGCTTTCAGGTGTGATTTCTATATTGCCCACACCTGTTACTTGCCCCAGGTGAGTTTACAGGAGCATCACATGCTTGTAACATTCTTATTTATCCGCAGTTGTGAAAGGGTGCCAATACTTTTGTCCAGCCATTTTTGGAGGTTTGTGTGACATTATGTCGAATTTGCTTTCTTTCCTCCCTTTTTTTGTTTTGTCCCAATACACACAAAGGGAATAAACATGTGTATAGCAAAACATGTGTTAATGCAATACGTTTCATGAGAAATACATGATTTCCTGGAGAAATATCAAGGGTGCCAACAATTTCGGCCATGACTGTATATATATATATATATATATATAATGTTTGGAGTTCTAAGACATTTTCTAGCAAAAAATACTGATTTTAACATGTAAACAAAAAGTGACAGAAATGGCCTGGAGCTACAGTGGTTAAGATGAAAAAATAAGGTAATTTTGAAATTGATTGCAACAACACACTTCAAAAAAGTTTGGGACAGGGCAACAAAGAGCTGGAAAAGTAAGTGGTAAGTTTTTTAAAATAGTAAGTTTTACAACTAATTAGGTTAATTGGCAACAGGCCAGTAACACGATTGGGTATATAAAGAGCATCTTAGAGAGTCAGAGTGTCTCAGAAGTAAAGATGGGCAAAAGTTTATCAATTTGTGAAAAGCTCCATCTAAAAATTGTCAAACAGGATTCATCAGGCTTTTTATGATTCTCACTAATTGTTTAAAGCTTGACAGAGTAATCTAAGGAATCACAAAGGTTTGCATTTTTAATAACCTAAGTTAGTCAATAAAGGTTATCACTCATACCCTTTGAAATTTTCTATATTTTGTCATGTTACAACCAAAAATGTAACTGTATTTTTTTGGGATTTTATGTGATAGACCAACACAGTGTCACATAAATGTGAAGTGAAAGGAAAATGATAAATGGTTTTCAAACTTTTTTACAAATATGTAAAAAGTGGGGTGTGCATTTGTATTCAGCCCCCCTGAGTCAAAACTTTGCAGAACCACCTTTCACTGAAATTACAACTGTAAAGTCTTTTTGGGGATGTCTCTACCAGCTTTGCACATCTAGAGTGAAATGTTTGCCCATTCTTCTTTGCAAAATAGCTCAAGCTGTCAGATTGGATGAGACCATCTGTGAACAGCAATTTTCAAGTCTTGCCACAGAATCTCAGTTGGATTTAGGTCTGGACTTTGACTGGGCCATTCTAACACATGAATATGCTTTGATCTAAACCATTCCATTGGAGCTCTGGCTGTATGTTTAGGGTCCTTGTCCTGTTGAAAGGTGAACTTCTGCCCCAGTCTCAAGTCTTTTGCAGACTCTAACAGGTTTTCTTCTAAGATTGCCTTGTATATGGCTCCATCCATCTTCCCATCAACTCTGACCAGCTTCCCTGTCCCTGCTGAAGAAAAGCATCCCCACAACATGATGCCGCCACCCACGTTTCATGATTCGGATGGTGTGTTCAAGGTGATGTGCAGTGTTTGTTTTCTGCCATACACAGCATTTTGCTCTTAGGCAAAAGTTAATTTTTTATCTCATCTGACCAGAGCACCTTCTTTCACATGTTTGCTGTGTCCCCCACATGACTTCTCGCAAGTGGGACTTCTTATGGATTTCTTTCAGCAATGGTTTTCTTCTTGCCACTCTTCCATTAAGGCCAGATTTGTGGAGTGCACGACTAATAGTTGTCCTGTGGACAGATTCTCCCACCTGAGCTGTGGATCTCTGTAGCTCCTCCAGAATTACCATGGGCCTCTTGGCTGCTTCTTTGATTAATGTTTTCCTTGCCTGACCTGTCATTTTATTTTGACGGCCATGTCTTGGTAGGTTTGCAGTTGTGCCATACTCTTTCCAATATCGAATGCTCCGTAAGATGTTCAAAGCTTGGGTTATTTTGTAACCTAACCCTGCTTTAAACATCTCCACAGCTTTATCCCTGATCTGTCTGGTGTATGCCTTCATGATGCTGTTTGTTCACTAATGTTCTCTAACAATCCTCTGAAGGGTTCACGGGACAGCTGTATTTATACTGAAATTAAATTACACACAGGTGGACTAGATTTTAGTTATGGGTATCAGAGTAAAGGGGGCTGAATACAAATGCACACCACACTTTTCAGATATTTATTTGTATAATATTTTGAAAACCATTTATCATTTTCCTTCCACTTAACAATTATGTGCCACTTTGTGTAGGTCTATTACATAAAATCCCAAAATGTGGAAAATTTCAAGGGGTATGAATACCTTTTCAAGGCATTGTATATTATAATATATTTTATTCAGACCTTGCTTAGACAGATTTCCTTATCTGATATCTTTAAGACTTCACCATTTCTGTGGTATTTTTATTCAGTCATACCGCGAGCATTGGCATTAAGCATCTTCTTCCTGCCATTTGGCCTTTTTGACAGGAGAATGCGTCTCCTGATTGCACCAGTTGTGGGTTTCATATTTTTGTACTCTTTCCTTCCCCACAAAGAACTACGGTTTATCATTTACACATTTCCTGTTTTAAACATTGTGGCTGCTAAAGGATGTTCATTTATGTAAGTACAAAGGAAACTTGCTTAATACATAAAAAAGTTTACCCTTAGTTAGATGCCTAGTGTTAGCCTAAAGAACACAGAGATTGGGGTGTAAATTTTTATTTGTGTGATCTGTGCTTGAATATAAATCTTCTTGGCTTGCAACCTTGGTAGTCCCTAAAGTGTATCTAAACCCCAAACAGAAATATCTTATATATTGCAGTTTACCAGCCCTTAGATGTGTTGGCTACATTAATTTTCTTTTTTGAGGCTAAGTACATTTTACAGAAAATACCTGTCCATCCTGCCAGAAATCCTTTGTGCTTGTAACTGTCCTGAACTGATATCTTAATGTTCTCATCTTTCACCAGTTCTCCTATGTGAACTACAGAACACCTTCCCTCCTTTTGTTATGACGATGAGAAGAGGGAGAAGTGTAGTCCAAATCAGGAAAGCAAACTAAAAAAATCCCAGCGCCAATCAAAGAAAGTATACAATTATGCAGCTGTGCACCAGTGAAAACCACCAATAATAAATAACACAAAAAACAGCGCAAAAATTAAATACATAAAAATAATCACAAATAAATGTCCGTGCAAAAATATAAATATAATATTTCAAACATAAGTCCTTATTTTCCCAAAAGGATTTTCAAAACAATATTCCAAAATGTGCTTCCACCTAATCACCACGTGAAAAATAATATTGACCGCACTCACCAGATGGAGGTGAGTAATAAGCCTCATAGGATATAAGGGATCCTATAGCCCCTCAGGAGAAACTCAAATCGCCTTCACCCTGCTTAGATACAGCAATCGACTCCACTCTACTTCTCCATGGAATCCTCAATAGTGTGCAAGGAAAGAAAGGCTACATAGTGTAATACTGCCACTCAATACCATATAAATCCATAGAATAAGGACACTCACATGTTTCAATAAAATAACAGGCCTTGTTTAATAGCCTCAAAGGCTTCAACGGAACAAGTTTCCAAATTGTAAATATAGGGATCTCACGCTTTAAGGATCACTGTAGAGGATGACCAGCTTTCCACCTCAAAAATGGCTGCTTTAACCGCAAAAGTCGGCGTGCGTTCCAAATACCGGAAGTGACGTAGGCCAAGAAGACAGCAGACCAGAAGTGCATCAATGCATTTCGCCCCACCCACAGGGCGTTTTCAAGACCAAAACTTCTTGATAGAGTGAGGTTTAAAGCTTTAGATTTGGCTTCACTGATGTCTAGATTAAAAATGGAGCTGAAGTCTGCCAGAAGAGGTTAGGTAGGGAAGTGTGGGGAGAGGAGAGACACATCAGGATGTCTTCAGCGAACAGCATCAATTTGTGGTACTTTGCCGATGTTTAGAGGCCATGTATGTCTGGGTTCGCTCAGAGAGCAGCTGCTAAAGGTTCGAGGGCCAAAATAAATAAAATGGTAGAAAGGGGACACCCTTGTCTCTTGCCTCAACGATTTGCAAATTGGTCCGAAGTGTAGCCCGCAAATTTCAGCATAGCCGAAGACTGGGCATACAGGGCAGAGATCCAAGATAGGAACTGCTCATCGAAACCGCACTTTCCGAAGGACATAAAAAAAATTTAGTCTCAGGAAACTGTGTTAAACGCTTTACAGACATCAAGAGAGCAGCATGGAGGGGCTAGGATAGGATTCTGCCAGGTGGGTCAGCTGTACCACTCTACAAACATCATTTGCTCCCCTACGAGGGATAAAGTACGCTTGTTCTTTGTTTCTAAGCTTCCCCAGAAAGTTCTTGTAGTTTTTTGCAACAGGTGGGTTCAAAATTGCATGCACCTTCATTCAGAAAACAATCTCACCAGTTTTCCATGTGGGAGGCTACAGTTTGCAATTACACATATAGGCAAAGACCATGCCTTCTGAAACCATAAGCTGCAGACTGATCAATCACAGATATGATTGTTTGGCCAAAGTGACAGGAGACATGTTTGTTGCACACCAAAGACCGTATTTCAGGAGGCAAACCCCAGAACAACTTTTGAGCATAGTGGTGAAAATGCGTTGTTTATGATCGCTGTGTCCTTTTGGATACAGCTGATCACATGACATGGTAAAAGGCAAATCACAGCAGCCTTTTACCACGTGATCACCTGTGTCCAATCACAGCTGACCACTATGTAAATATACTTACTGGGTATAGGCAGTACTTTGCTCATGCTGTCACAGTGTAAAAGTACTGCCGGTAACTGGCACCTGTCAAAGCAGACGTCTGCACTGATTTTCAGTGCAGCCCCAAGAGTACCCAGCAGTGGTGCCTATCAGTTCCCATCATTGCCGCCTACCAGTGCTGCATATCAGTGCAGAATCATCAGTGCCTACTCACCAATGCCCATCAGCACACCCTCATAAACACACATCAGTGAATGAGAAAAATGACCTGTTTGCAAAATTTTATAATAGGAACAAAGAAAACCTTTTTGTTTGTTTTCAAATTTTTCACTCTTTTCACTTTTATTTGTTGTTTGTTTATAGTGCAAAAAATAAAACATCCTGTGGGGATTAAATACCACCAATAGAAGCTCTATTTTTGTGAAAAAAATTCATATGGTTACAGTGTTGCATGACTGCACAATTGTCATTAAAAGTGCGATAGCGCTGAAAGCTGCAAATTGGCCTGGGCAGGAAGGGGGTAAAAGTGCCCGGTAGGCAAATGACCAAAGCCATGATTTTCTTGCAGTGGAATTTTTTTTTTAGAGGGGTTTGAAAGGGGCAGTTCATGCAAGGAACCCGGACTCTGAGTCTAGGTCCTCCCACCACTACAAGTGGGGTTGAATTACATCAATGCTTCCTGGAGAAAGAACTACAGAAAGGATGTGTCAAGACCAGTGGCTGGGGGAATAGGAGGCAGAGTGGCCACTGGTCTTACAAACAGGAAACCAACGAGAATTAACTTTTTGATTTGAAAATGAATAGGCTATTTCAGAGCAGCTACTGAGTAAACCAGAAGATAAATTACATATTCAGTGAAGGTAGGAAATCAGCAACAAGGACATGTAAAGACTTTTTTGCCTGGAGTTCTGCTTTAACTTTTGACATGACTGTTCCTTCCTATAGCAACTTTTCTCCATTCCACATTTATCTTAGAGCTATAATTTAGTAGCAGATTTGCATCTTGATATTTTTACTTCCAAGGTTTATTTAGGAAGAAATGGTGGGAAAAAAAGTATTTTTTTTTGTTTACTCCTTTATTTTTTTCTGGTTTAGCTATTATCACAGTTTTTGCTTCCACTCTTGAATGAAAAGTAATGGAGACACCTTTTGAACAACAGCTGCATCAACCTAGGTAGTGTTAGCAGGATTTTGGCTCTAATTTGTCAAGTTCTCCTTGAGCATCTAACACTTTGTTCCAAAGGGAAAGAAAAACTTTCCCCTAACTGCAAAGTTTTTACACAAAAGCTGACAATTGTAAGCACACCTATCAATGTTAAATGGTTTGTCTCAGTCCTCTAGCTGCCACTTTTGCTGAACAGCTTGGTCTGTTAAAGGAATTTGTAAAAAAAAAACAGACTTACTGGTCAACAGGTAAAAATAAAGGGGAAAAAAAAGTCAAAGAAAAATGAATGCAGCCAGCACACTGGAGAATTGGCAAGCTGCAATATAAAAAAAGTTTTGTTTTTGGGATGAATGTTGCTTTAAGATAGAAGTTGGTTTTTCACAGAGAATATTTTTTTAGGTTTTGGATTGCTAAAATTTCCAATGACATTGTACTCCTTTCCATAAGCATTTGAGCCAACTATAGATCCCTTGCAGATTGCAGATATGTTCCCTCTTCCACTGCATTTTAGAAAAAAAGTAAAATGCAGATTCTGCAGTATAATGGCTGCTGATAGTGTGGCTATAGAGGTACTAGCATAATTTTGGGGGATGCTGTAGCACACCCAAGCCATTCCTGGGCACTGGCACTCACTACTGCAGTGATCTGTTGCTTCCAGAGGAGGCAGCAAAGGGTGACAGTGCCGTCATTTCACATCTTTTCCTCTGTAAACACAATTCTGAAGCATTGTTTCGCAGTTCCCTATTAGAGTGTCCATATGGAGCTCTCTGGTTGGATCACAAGCTGATCATAGCAGCTCCTGGGATTAGTATTGGGCGGTTACTGTTACTGACAGCAGTGGTTCCTAGAATCTGCTGACTCTGAGTGCACTTTTAAAATGTCTGTAGGACAAGTGACGTTATCCAAGCACTGTTTTATAATGGCTCCTGGCCTTAAGTGGTGTAATACATCAATTAAAAAAAAAAAAAATTCCTATCGCCACAGGCAATGAAAATAGAACCTGCAAAAGAATGATAAATGCTGTACACTTGGCATAGCTCTGGTGGCTTTCAGAAATTTAATGCTGATAGTTTCTGTGTAAAGTTTGTCATACATGGATCGAAATTTAGATGGTTTGGCAGGGACCAGCCAAGATTCGATCCATGTATGGGCTGATTGTACCCAAATTGATTTATTGATTGACTTGGGTACATCCAGCCTGTCAGGTTTTTCCATTTGATTACTGCTAATGGCTATAGCCACTAACAGTAATCATTGTGTTTTGCAAGTCGGGAAGGCTGCCCGCTGGCAGAACACAATAACACTGTGGGAGGTATTCCCCCATCAACACAATTCCGTGGTGGAAGCTAACAAAATCTACTCATCTATGGGCTGCTTTACAGTGTTAGCAATCATGGGTCAACTGCAAATCAGTCAATAGTAAAGTTGGAATAATACTTTATTTCCTTGTTTAAATTATCACCTGCAGCCCTTGAGAAAGATGGATTCAAATTAAGACTCTCATTATCTATCAGGTTGCCAATCACTGGTCCTAAAGGATGTGTTTCATAAATATTTTTGTGCACTACATAAGTAATGCCTTATTTTTTCCATAAATAATGTATTCAATTAGAGAAACAAATCCTTATATGTGATTTGGGGGCTTGTTGAGTAGTTCTTACGAATCATATCTCATGATTGTGTTTGTTACTATTTTTAGATTTCACAACTACCATAAATCTTGGCTATTTAAGTTTGGCTCTTTATGTGTAATAGCACATCTTCTGGGTAATGCTGTCTACTCTGCAGGATCTTTATATGTGTCCCATTTCAATTATCCTGGAGGTGTTGCAATGGATGTGTTACATAAACGTGTGAACCCTTCAACAGGTATGATTTTATTTCTAGATATTCTATTTTTCCTTGTTTCATCTTATCAATTTAACCACTTGTGAATCAAACTAGATTTAAGTTCAGCCTATAGGGTAAGGGTGTACATAGTCCCAAAAACACCCCAGTCCCTATATGTAATGTACATTTGCAACTCCCTTGACTGGTCATTCTGACAGCCAAGTTTGTACTGTATAGTCAGGAGCCACGAAGAGACCCTCATGCTACAGTATCACGGTCATAGCTTGTTACAGTGTAAATTATGGAAATAATATTACTTTCTTACACTGTAATAACGGCTATGAAACAACTGTTAACGGTTTCTTGGTCACTTTTTATCGTTTTCCTTTTATTTTAACTTTTGTGTATTAAACACAGACTTTAACAAAACCCCTTTTACTTCTTTACAAAGCTCTGTACCAGAAAGTTCTGGTCTTTTGATAAATTGGGCAAAGAAAAATAAAATTTATACTTTTTACACCATAAAAAAGACTTGTGCCCCCACCCAAAAAAAATAAATAAATTAGAATTCAAATATTGATGTGGTTAACGTGTTGAATTATGAGATTTTTTTATTTTATGCCTTTTTAGATGTATCTGTACATATAGATGTAGCGACTGCCCAAACTGGAGTATCGCGATTCTTACAATTTCACTCACATTGGAGGTATGTGGTAATATTTTAAAATATCAAAAAAAAAGTTTTTTTTTATTTTTGCAATTTGTAAGGCGTTTCTAGTTTGAAAGGAACTTGTTAGACTATTCTGTCCCTTTAGCGCTCAAAGCAGATGAACTCATGATCTGTAGCTGGACTTTACAGGCTTTCACTGGGCTTGTTGCAGTGCCTGTCCTCTACTAGATGTCTACTTGATTAGGGACAGTTAGTGGCTGCTAACTCTACCCATCCTTTCCTTTTGACACAGAATGGAAGCCGTGATGATATGCAGCACCCTTCCTTCTGCTGCAGAACCCCAGCTTTTGTAACGTACATTTCTGTTAGTTTTGGGCTCTTTTCTTCTCTGTTTAAAAGTAGCCACTCAGGTGTGCTGTGCTATGCAAAGTCCTGCATGCTGTATCTTTTGTGTAGTTATTCAAAAGAATGTACCATTGAAATGTTGAAAAATTGACTCAGCCTTTCTGTTATGCGTTTCTGTGTGCCACATGGAGCATTGATAAGAGAGCAGCAAAGTCCATATCCAGAGATCTTAATGTTCTTGTGTCCACTGTGCACAACATTGTCTAGAATATTACAGCCCATGGCACTGTAGCTGATCTCCCTGGACGTGGATGAAAGAGAAAAACTTGATCAAAGAATGCAACAAAAGGATTGTTTGAATGATGGCTGAAGAACCTCGATCAACTTCCAGACAAATTCAAGCTGACTTTCAGGCAGACAGTGCAACTGTCAGCTTGCGCTATATGTCGCAATCTGAATGAAAAGGGACGCTATAGTAGGAGACCCAGGAGCACCTCACTGCTAACACAGAAACCTAAAAAAGCCAGATTTACCTGAGGAAGCCAAAATTATTTTGGGAGAATGTGCTGTGGACAGACAAAACAAAAGTACAGCTTTTTGGTAAAGCCCATCATTCTACCGTTTCCAGAAAAAGCGATGAGGCCTTTAAAGAAAAGAATACAGTCTGTACCATCAAACATGATGGAGGTTCACTGATGTTTTGGGGTGCTTTACAACCTCAGGCACTGGATGTCTTGACCGTGCACATGGCATTATGAAATCTGAAGACTACCAAAGAATTCTGGGATGCAATGTAGGGTGCGGTGTCAGAAAGTTGGGTTTACAGCAGGACAGTGACCCAAAGCACATGTCAAAAAGCACCCAGAAATGGTTTAAGACAAAGCGCTGGAGAGTACTGAACTGGAAAGCAATGAGTCCAGATCTCAATCCCATAGAACACCTTTGGAGAGATCTCAAAACAGCAGTTGGGAAAAGGAACCCTTCTAATCTGAAAGACCTGGGGTAGTTGGCAAAATAGGAGTCCAAAATTCCAATATAGAGGTATATAAGAAACTTATTGATGGTTACAGGAAGCGATTCATTGCAGTTATTTTTTCCAAGGGTTGTGCTACCAAATATTACATTGAGGGTGCTAATAATTTTGTCTAGTCTATTTTTGGGGATTTTCATGAAATGTGTTAGATTTGGCTTCTTTTTCCCTAAACTTTTTTTGTGTCATACCAATACAAGCAAGAAATAAACATGAGCATGCCTAAAAAATTGTAATTGCAACCATTTTCTGCGCCAAGTAGTGTATTATCTGACAAAAATGCAGGGATGCCAATATTTTTGGCCATGACTGTATGAGCAATTCTCTGAAGAAAAGCCTTGATTAGGGATTGCGAGGCAAAAGGTTTCTGGAAGAGAATGGATAAGGTAGAAACCTGTCTCTTAAAAGCATATTCTAAAAGGTTTTTTTTTTTTTTTTTTTTTTTTTTTTTTTTTTTGTAACACAACAAGCATGTCTATACTTACCTACTGTGTGCAGTGGTTTTGCACAGAGCAGCCTGGATCCTCCCCTTCTTGGGTCCCCAGCAGGCCCTCCTGGCTCCTCCTGTCTGTCGGGTGCCCCCACAGCAAGTAGCTTCCTATGGGGCACCCACTGCTCTGTGTGTCCATTCACACATGGAGTTGCGGCTTGGCCGCTCCCCCTCTCTTTCCTCATTGGCTGACTGGCTGTAATTGCTGCCTCAGGCAATGAGGAAGCAGAGACCCAGGAAAGCCAAGGCTGTCATTCACATCGCTGGATCGTGATGAGGCTCGGGTAAGTATTGAGGGGCTGTGAGAATTGCTGCACACAGATTTTTTTACCTTCATGCATTGAATGCATTTTACAACCACTTTAAGGGTACTCAAGGCCAGACAATGGTCAAGGTAAGAGACCAGACCCTGAGGTTCAGCCATCTGTCCTTGCACAGTTTTTTTTTTTTTTGTGCTATGCTAAATCCTGTTGTCCTGAATAAGGTGGAAAAACCTAAGTCAGAATGGGCCAATAAGTTAGCTCTGTTTGGACAAGGCTTGTCCACCAGTAGCCTGAGTATGGCTTTTGTCTATGTACCACGTCCTTTTGGGACTATTTGGCATGATCAGACGCTGGAACTCTTTTTGCTCCTATTGTGCAGCAGTCAAGGGAGACTATCATCAGAGGGAAGACAGTCTGAATTGAGTCCAAGGAATTAGTAGAGCAACTAGTGTGAAAGCCAGAGGATCCCTGGTTTTAGGCTTTCCAATCTGTTCAGCATGTTGTTGGACCTGGAGGCTGATGTCCACATCTTGAGAGATTTTGAAAGATTTCTGGGTACAAAGACCTTTCCCTGGATCTACGCATTGGCAGATTAGAAAGTTCACCTGTCAATCATGCACTCCAGAGATGTGGATGGCCGAGAGAGCCGGAGTGTGATCTCGAAGAGTATCAGGCTTGATTCTTTTTGGGCAGCTTGACTTCTGGGATGCCCTCAGGATTGTTAGTGTAGGCCACTGCTGTGGTATTCAAATGCACCCTGACTTGGTGACCTTGTAGAAGAGGATGTCCAGTTTTTTTTTTTTTAGAGGTAATTGCTGGCTGTCTGTTTCAGAATGTTGATTTGGTGTTTGACTCCTCTAAGCACCAAGTTCCCTAGACAGGGAGTTGTAAACTCCACCCCAGCCCATAAGGCTAGCATCCATTTCCCCACCTCCCAGGCTCTGTGAAGAAGTGACTCAATTCCAGGGCAGAAATGAAAATCCACCATGCCAGTGAGAGCTTTTTTCTGGCTGTAGAAAGCATTGGACGATCCAGGGGTTTAATCTGCTTGTTCAAATAAATCTCCTGTGCTACTAAGCCTATACTAAGAAGATCAAATGAAACTGCCAACATCCAATCATATACCAGATGATAAATCAAATAATGAAAAAAGGAAATGATGTGGCGCTGCTACCTAAGAAAAACCTAAACCTGTAAAAAATAAACTTATAAAACGCATATACATATCCACAATAAAACAAATACAATGAATACACACACAAATCAAGTGATATTATAGTGCATGTGCTAAATGCCAACTATATAAGTGAAAAAAGGAACATACATATGCTGATAATGATGCCTAAACACAGTGTATGTGCATAAACAACAAACCACACACCAATCTGGACTGATTGTCCAATTAACACGTAATCGTGAGTAGTCTAATGATAGGACTACTATAGGTGCTCCAAATTTCTCCAAAAAAATACACCCCACATAACGTATCAAAATGCATGTACATGTAACATATATACAGTTTGTGTCCAAAATTATTCAACCCCCACTGAAATTGATGTTTTGGCCAGTTTTGACATTGCTTTTGATCATTCAGTCATCTTGCTTACATTTACATTAAAGAGGCACTTGTAGGTCAGACAAATATAACATAACAGTTATAATGAAATAACCACAAATGTCTTTTCTGTCCTCCAAAAATGGGCTCACAGCATTATCAGTTTTATTCAACCCCCAAGTGACATTCAATCTTAGTACTTAGTACAGCATCCTTTTACAGTTATAACAGCTTTTAAACGTGAAGCATAGCTTGACACAAGTGTCTTGCAGCGATCTACGGGTAATCTTCGCCCATTCTTCATGGGCAAAGGCCTCCAGTTCAGTCACATTCTTAGGCTTGCGCACTGCAACTGCTTTCTTTAAGTCCCACCAGAGGTTCTCAATCGGATTTAAGTCTGGTGACTGCGATGGCCACTCCAAAATGTTCCAGCCTTTCCTCTGCAACCATGCTCTAGTGGACTTGGAGGTATGCTTGGGATCATTGTCCTGTTGAAAGGTCCAACGTCTCCCAAGCCTCAGGTGTGTGACGGACTGCATCACGTTTCCATCCAATATCTCCTGGTACTGAAGAGAATTCATGGTACCTTGCACACGCTGAAGCTTCCCTGTACCTGCAGAAGCAAAACAGCCCCAAAGCATGATTGACCCTCCACCATGCTTCACAGTAGGCAAGGTGTTCTTTTCATCATAGGCCTTGTTCTTCCTCCTCCAAACATAGCGTTGATCCATGGGCCCAAACAGTTCTAATTTTGTTTCATCAGTCCACAGAACACTATCCCACAACTTTTGTGGTTTGTCCACATGGCTTTTGGCATACTGCAGTCGACTCTTCTTATTCTTTGGAGACAGCAAGGGGGTACGCCTGGGAGTTCTGGCACGGAGGCCTTCATTACGCAGTGTGCGTCTTATTGTCTGGGCTGAAACTTCTGTACCCACATCTGACAAATCTTTTCTCAGTTCCTCAGCAGTCACACGGGGGGACTTCTCTCCACTCTACGCTTCAGGTAGCGCACAGCAGTCGAAGTCAGCATCTTCTTTCTGCCACGACCAGGTAGCGTTTCAACAGTGCCCTTTGCCTTGAATTTGCGAATGATGCTTCCTAAGGTGTCTCTTGGTATGTTTAACATCTTTCAGCCCAATCTTCTTATAGCCATTGCCCTTCCTGTGAAGAGAAATCACCTCTTCTCTTGTCTTCCTGGACCATTCTCTTGCCTTCACCATGTTTGTAAACCACACCAGTAAATGTCTAGAAGGAGCTGAGTATCACAGTCATTTTAAAGCTGCCTAATTGGTGCTTATTATGCTTGATTGCTGCTCGGTGACATCCACAGGTGTTTTCATACCTGATGGAAAGCACCTGTATGAACCTCTGTTCTTCAGAGTGGTAGTCTTTAAGGGGTTGAATAATTGTGGCAATGAAGAAACCACATAAGAACCATTTACTACTATTATTACATAAACAATTGATGTCATTTTAGTTGCATTTGGGTAGTTACAACGTCCTTGTAGGATTTGATTCTGAATACAATTCCAAATGTACACTATAGTCCCTAAACCCCTTTACAGCATTGGGGGTTGAATAATTTTGGACACAACTGTATATATAAAATGAACCAACCAACTAAATCAGTATGTGAAAAAACACATCACATTTTGTGCAAATACTCAATAAAACGATGGAAAACACCTACATGCATAAAGTGCAAAAAATATATCTCATGCTGTGCAGAACATACATATATATAGCACACCCTAATATAACAAAAAATGTCCAAGATGGGTGCAATACGCATAGGCCGTTTGCAGAATACATGTTATTCGATCCTTTTGCCCCAGCACCTTTGCACCTATGTTCCATCTTTGCTAAGCGAGGGGCTTTCCAGTGGGGTACTCACAGAATAAAGTACAAAATGGATGCATGTCCTGATATAAGAGCTGCTCTATGCACTATGCTTTGTGCCAAGGTGAGCTGTTAATGCTTAACCTTACAGGTTAACCCCAAAAAGTGGAGTCTTTGTACGGTCCCCAAGGTAAAGCTTAAGGGTACTGGTGCGGAAACTGCTAGATAGCTCAAGGCAATAAGCAGGTAAATTGTGAAAGAAGTGTCAGAAGAAAATATTGATTTAAAATACAGGTGAGAACAGGTTCCCCTAAGGACACAAGCAAAAAACTAGAGGCTAACAGAGTGCATGGGGTTACCTGAGTGCACAAAAGGGTCAGACATTGCGTCTTTGCCAAAGTCTAATCACATGAAGGTAGCCTGCATATAACCCATATTCTATGAATAAAAGTCCTGTACTGTACAAATAAGAAAAGAAAATTTACAACTTCACATTGAGGGCTGGCCCACCCTCAGGAATTACCAGTAGGGAGTTGTTGAATGGGGTGGGTCATCCCTGAAGCTTCTATTTGCATATTAGAATGTTCTAACTTTTGAAAATGTTAAATGTAATTTCCTTCATTTTATTCATATAGTCACCTTCTTCATACTTGTAAAAAAACGGTCTGTGATGTAAAATGTGTCATGAACAAACTGCTTTCATCTGGCAGAAAAACTATTGTTTTAGTACGCCACTATTTGAATTAGATTCATGTGAGCATGTGTTAATATAGACCTTGACAAGTTTTTTTTTGTGTTTTATATTTCGTTAAAGGTATGACAAAAGTGAAGATGTTACATGGACAGATGAAGCTATGAAACTCCACTCACACATCATCATGGAATTTGATGCTTCTCATTTGTCTCAGTATAAAAATCACTACAAAGTTTTAAGCCATATATCTGGCTTTGATGGATTTGGGTTTCATTTTGATACATATCCACCCATTCACCTTAAACTGTTAACAAAATTAATTATTTTAGAGCGGTCTCAGAATGTATAATGTACAGTGCCTTGAGAAAGTATTCATACCCCTTGAAATTTTCCACATTTTGTCATTTTACAACCAAAATTGTAAATGTATTTTATTGGGATTTTATGTAATAGACCAACACAGAGTGGCACATAATTGTGAAATGGACAGAAAATGATAAATGGTTTTCAAAATTGTTTACAAATATCTGAAAAATGTGGCGTGCATTTGTATTCAGCCCCCCTGAGTCAATACTTTGTATTACCACTTTTTGCTGCAAAATATAGGTGCAAGTCTTTTTGGGGATGTCTCTACCAGCTTTGCATATCTAGAGAGCGAAATCTGTGCCCATTCTTCTTTGCAAAATAGCTCAAGCTGTCAGATTCGATGGAGAGTGTCTGAACAGCAATTTTCAAGTTTTGCCACAGATTCTCAATTGGATTAAAGTCTGGAGTTTGCGCCATTCTAACAGATAAATATGCTTTGATCTAAACCATTGTCTCTGGCTGTATGTTTAGGGTCATTGTCCTGCCCTGGTCTCAAGTCTTTTGCAGACTCTAACAGGCTTTCTTCTAAGATTGTCTTCTCAGGTAACCTGTAAATGCTTTTAAAACGTCTATAAATAGTAAAAATGTACGTTTTATCAGCTCTGCCCAGGCAACATATTTGGTATCTATTTACTCGGCGTAACATCAGCTTTTATACTTTTACAAAAAAATTGGGTTATTGATTGTTTTTATTCACTAAAATTTTTTGTATTTTGTTCTGTTTTTTTAAAAATTTGCGTTTGAAAAACCATTGCGCATACCGTGTATTAAAAAAAAAAAAAATTAAAAAAACACTGATTTATTCTCTGGGGGCCTCTGCTTTTAAAAAAAAAAAATAGTGTGTGTGTGTGTGTGTGTTGAAAAAAGTGAATAAAGCTCAAAATCCTTCTAAAAGCTTTTATGTGTATTTCCATACACGCAAATGCATTGGGAACACTACATATTCTATTCCAAATCAGAACGTGAAGAAAAAATATATCAAATGTGTTGTTCCTTTAAAAAAAAATTGAAGAAAAGTGAATATTAGACTGTTCAAAAAAATAGCAGTGTTTGTATTATTTCTTTACAAACTCAAACATTCACTATATAAACTGAAAAATGTTTGAAGATTTTGCTTTCCTTTGAATCACTTAATTAATATTTAGTTGTATAAGCACTGTTTCTGAGAACTGCTGTACATCTGTGTTGCATGGAGTCAACCAACTTCTGGCACCTGTGAACAGGTATTCCAGCCCAGGGTGATTGGACTACATTCCACAGTTCTTCTCTATTTCTTGGTTTTGCCTCAGAAACTGCATTTTTTATGTCACCCCACAAGTTTTCTATTGGATTAAGATCCGGGGATTGGGCTGGCCACTCCATAACATCAATCTTGTTGGTCTGGAACCAAGATGTTGCACGTTTACTGGTGTGTTTGGGGTCGTTGTCTTGTTGGAACACCCATTTCAATGGCATTTCCTCTTCAGCATAAGGCAGCATGACCTCTTCAAGTATTCTGATGTATTCAAACTGATCCATGATCCCTGGTATGCGATAAATAGGCCAAACACCGTAGTATGAGAAACGTCCCCATATCATGATGCTTGTGCAACCATGCTTCACTGTCTTCACAGTGTACTGTGGCTTGAATTCAGTGTTTGGGGGTTGTCTGACAAACTGTCTCCGACCACTAGACCCAAAAAGAACAATCTTACTTTCATCAGTCCACAAAATGTTGCGCCATTTCTCTTTAGGCCAGTCAATGTGCTCTTTGGCAAATTGTAACCTCTTCAGCACGTCTTTTTTTTCAATAGTGGGACTTTGCGGGGGCTTCTTTCAGATAGCTTGGCTTTACATAGGCGTCTTCCAATTGTAACAATACTCACAGGTAACTTTAGACCTTCTTTGATCTTCCTAGAGCTGATTGTTGGCCGAGTCCTTGCCATTTTGGCTATTCTGCTATCCATTCGAATGGTAGTTTTTCGCTTTCTTTCACATCTTTCAGGTTTTGGTTGCCATTTTAAAGCATTTGCAATCATTTCAGCTGAGCAGCCTATCATTTTCTGCACTTTATATGTTTTCCCCTCTCCAATCAACTTTTTAATCAAGGTACGCTGCTGTTCCGAACAATGTCTGGAACGACCCATTTTCCTCAGAATTTCAGAGAGAAATGCACTGTAACCAGCATGTACAACATTTGCTGCCTTCCTTCCTTAAATAAGGGCAATAATTGCCACCTATTTTTCAAAGAATGAATGACCTCACTAATAGAACTCCACACTGCTATTATTTTGAACACGCCCCTTTCAATTAGTGATTCAATTACACAGAATCAGCAGCATGCATGTCATGACTGTTGGGTCTGTTGGATTTCTTTTACTCTACTACACCTGCTAGTAAATTATTTGCCATGTAGAAATATCATTTCTACCAAAAACAGTGATTGATCAGGTTAGTGATGTCTGACTGCTATTATTTTGAACACAACTGTGTATGTATATGTATATATATATATATATATATATATATATATATATATATATATATATATATATATATATATATATATATATAAAAACCACTGCGCATAATGTGTGACAAACTGCAAAAAACACTGATTTATTCCCTAGGGCCTCTGCTTTAAAAAAGTGTGTGTGTGTTCTAATAAATTTTCTAGCAAAAAATACTGATTTTAACATGTAGTTAAGAAGAAATATAAGGTAATTTTGAAATTGATTGCAGCAACACACTTAAAAAAAAAGTTGGGACAGGGCAACAAAGAGCTGGCAAAGTAAGTTGTTAGTTTTTTTTTTTTTTTTTTTAAATAGTAAATTTTACAACTAATTAGATTAATTGGCAACAGGTCAGTAACATGATTGGGTATTTAAAGAGCATCTTAGCAAGTCAGAGTGTCTCAGAAGTAAAGATGGGCAGAAGTTTACCAATCTGTGAAGCGCTCCATCTAAAAATTGTCAAGCTTTTAAACAATTCCTGAGAATCATAAACAGGATTCATCAGGCTTTTTGACAGTGATTAATCTAAGGAATCACAAAGGATTGCATTTTTAATAACCTAAGTTAGTCAAAGGGTATCACTGCAAACTTTCGGCTATATGACTTTTTAAAATGGCTAGAATGCACTAGGTAAAAATCAAACCATGTTTATATAGTTACACTGCCTTGAAAAAGTATTCATACCCCTTGAAATTTTCCACATTTTGTCATGTTACAAAGAAAACAAATGCATTGTATTGGAATTTTATGCGATAGCCCAACACAAAGTGGCACATAATTGTGAAGTGAATGGAAAACTATAAAGAGCTTTCAAACTTTTTTACAAATAAATATGTGAAAAGTGTTGCGTTAATAGTTGTCCTGTGGAGAGATTCTCCCACCTGAGCTGTGGATCTCTGCAGCTCCTCCAGAGTTACCATGGGCCTCTTGGCTGCTTTTTCTGATTAATGCTCTCCTTGCCTGGCCTGTCAGTTTAGGTGGACGGCCATGTCTTGGTACGTTTGCAGTTGTGCCATACTCTTTCCATTTTTGGATGATGGATTGAACAGTGCTTCACGAGATGTTCAAAGCTTGGGATATTTTTTCATAACCTAACCCTGCTTTAAACTTCACCACAACTTTATCCCTAACCTGTCTAGTGTGTTCCTTGGCCTTCATGATGCTGTTTGTTCACTAATGTTCTCTAGCAAACCTCTGAGGGCTTCACAGAACAGCTGTATTTATACTGAGATTAAATTACACACAGGTGGACACTATTTACTAATTAGGTGACTTCTGAAGGCAATTGGTTCCACTACATTTTAGTTAGGGATAGCAGAGTGAAGGGGGCTGAATACAAATACACGCCCCACTATTCTGATATTTAGTTGTAAAAAAATTTTGAAAACTATCATTTTCCTTCCATTTCACAATTATGTGCCACTCTGTGTTAGTCTATCACATAAAATCCAAATAAAATACATTTACGTTTTTGGTTGTAACATGACAAAATGTGGAAAATTTCAAGGGATATGAATACCTTAAGGCACTGTATCTACTAATTTTTTTTACAAATGTAGATTTTGTGAGGCCTTGAAACTCCATACACATAGACATTTTGAAATTCAAAATGTCTATGTTAAAATGTGAATCAGCACATTTAGGTGCAATTCATTTCAATGGCACCTAAAAACGCAATGCCCAAAGTTTCAGAACTTCTTTTGGGTGCTGTACGTCTCACGATTGTCACACGGCAATTGCGGTAAATTTTCCCCACAGATTTAGGTGTCATTGAAATGAATGTCACCTAAACATGCTGATGCACAATTTCCCATTTTAACAGCATGTTCTGAAATTATGGGCAAAATCTCAGCAATTCCACCCCCAATGTAAAACGCCTATATGTGAATGGAGCTTTAGTTGGGAAACCAGGTGCTACTATATGTTTAAGGACTTGCGTTCAGTGTTTCCCAAATAAACAGTGCAGCACTGTAAATTCATGATGATTAATAAAGGGAGTGTTTAGTTCTTATGAACACCCCAAATCTCAGACATGTTTAGACTTTTTATTTAAAAAAAAAAAAAGTTAAAACGGAAGTTTATTAGTTATTTTGCCATTTTGGTTCCTCCTTAACATGCAAATGAAGCTTATTTTAGACTGAGGGACAATCATCACTAAGTCTCTTTACTTATATAGGCAATGTACGCAGGATGCTTACTTACCTATTTAGTTTGCCTCTTTGGATGTCTAAGTGGCCAAAGAGTGAACAGGTTAAAGCAAGCTCATGACTGCAGTAGCATCTGTGAGCCTGTTTTTAATTTTCATCAGTGGGCTCTGAGCTTTATTGTAAAAGTAATCAGGGTGGCTGTGGAGCCACCCGATTACTTATAGGTGACTGGTGCATGCTGGTTTAGAGCTATCAAAATCATGGCTAGAAAGCCATGTGCACAGCAGATCACGCACAGTTCTGGGCAGTGGACACAAATGGATTCTTGTCTCCATAAAGAGGAC